TATCAATAGGAAAAATGCAAAAGTTTTATATTCTTAATGCTTATTCATCTACATGTCAGTCACTGGATGTGATAGGCAGAATAATGACCTGAACAGATGTCCACATCTTAGTCCTCAGAATCTGTGAATACATTACCTTACATAGCAAAAGGATCTTTGCAGATATGATTAAATTAAGGATCCTGAAATGGAGATGTTGTCCTGGATAGTCTGGGACAGAGGTCCTCAAACTTTTTAAACAGGGGGCCAGTTCACTGTCCCTCAGACCGTTGGAGGGCCGGACTATAGTTTAAAAAAAAACTATGAACAAATTCCTATGAACACTGCACATATCTTATTTTGAAGTAAAAAAAAACACACAAACAAAACAGGAACAAATACAATATTTGTAATTGCATGTGGCCCGCGGGCCGTAGTTTGAGGACCCCTGGTCTGGGAGGACCGATCTAATTACATGCCTTCTTACAATCAGATAACCTTTCCCAGTTGATTTCTGAGTCAGAGGAAGATGTGACTATGGGAGCAAGGTCAGAGAGTTGCCGTGGTACTGGCTTTGAAGATGGAGGAAGGGGCCACGAGCCAAGAAATGTAGGCAGCTTCTAGAAGCTGGAAAAAGCAAAGAAACAGACACTCTGCTGACACTTTAATTTTAGCCCAGTGACCTATATCAGATTTCTAATTTACAGAGCTATGTTGTTTTAAGCCACTAAATTTGTGCCAATGTGTTGCAGCAGAGATAGAAAACCAATATATTGGGTTAGCCCCATGGTCGGCAAACTGCGGCTCGCGAGCCAAATGCGGCTTTTTGGCCTTTTGAATGTGACTCTTCCTAAGCCTTAGGAGTACCCTAATTAAGTTAATAACAATGTACCTACCTATATAGTTTAAGTTTAAAAAATTTGGTTCTCAAAAGAAATTTCAATCGTTGTACTGTTGTTATTTGGCTCTGTTGACTAATGAGTTTGCTGACCTGTGGGTTAGCCTATAGAGTCAAATAAAACAGGTCCCTGTCCTCAGAAACTCACAGCTTATTGGGGGAGGGAGACATGTAAACAGTATAATAAAAGTGCAAAGATTGGAGTGAGTACATGGAGCTATGTAAATAAAATTTGGAGACATCCTGTCAATCTCTACCATTTAAGAAAAACTTCTCTTGATTTTATTTTCTCCACCAGCTACTGCCCTATTTCATCACTCTCCTTTGCACCCAAACTCCTTCATAGAATTATCATTTATTGTAGTTTCCAATTCTTCTCCTCCCATTTCCTCTTAAAACCACTTCAGTCAGACCTTTGTCACACTACCCACTCATCATACTATGGTCCAGGCCACCAGTAACCTCCATGATGCTAAACCCAATGGTGGTTTTTGGTCCCTACATGTATGTACAACTAGTTAGCAGCATTAACACAGCTGACCACGTCCTCCTCCTTGATACACTTCCTTTATTTGGTTCCTGGGACTCCATCCTCACTCTTAGCTTTCTTCTTTCACTGGATGCCACTTCTCCAAGCCTGTTAATATTGGAGTGCCCCAGAGCTCAGTCTTTAACCCTCTTTTCTTTATATGTCCTCTTTTGGTGACCTCATACAGTCTCATTCCAACCACATGCTGATGACCTCCAAGTGTATCTTTCCATCCCAGACTTCTCTCTTGGACTCCAGTTGCATACATCCAGCCTCCTACTTGTCATCTCCACTTGGATATGTAATAGACATCTCATACTAAACATGTCTGACAGTACTGAATTTCTGATCTTCCCTAATCCCTCCTTGTCACCTGCTCTGCCCACAGCTTTCCCCGCCTCTGTGAATGACAACTCTGTCCTTCCAGGTATTCTAGACATAATTGACTCTCTGACATTTCATATCAATTCATCAGCAATTTTTATTGGCTCAACCTTCAAAATATATCCAGAATCAGACCGCTTTTCTACTGCTACTACCCTGGTCTGGCCACCACTCTTCTTGCCTGGGCTACTAAAAAGAACCTGATATATTTTTCCATGTCCCTCAGAGAACAGTCTTGAGCGCTTAAAATATCCTGCCAGGCACTACATGATCTAGGTCCCGGCTCCCCTTATGTCTCTCAAGTAGTCTCCTTCATCTCTTGCTCTTTCTCATTCTGTTACAGCTACACTGGCACTTATCATTTCTGATCTTTGTCCTTTAGGAACAATGATTAATCTCAACAAATTTGAACAATGACTAGCACTTAATAGGTCCTCAATAAAAATTTAATGAATGAATAAAATTACCAATCATAAGCACTCATGTTGCTTAATTTTCCCTTTTTAAATAATGCTGTTTGCTACTTCACTTGTTTTTTGAGATATTTATTTAGCATCTCAATTTTGGTCAGCATTGAATAGATTTTTATTTAAAATGACAAAAGAATATAGTGTTCCTATAAAACCAGGAACATTGACATAAAAAGAAAAAACATCTAGGGATAATGTTTGAAAGAAAATTTGATTCCACCCTAGAGTCTTGTTTCAACCCTGGACTCTAAACCATACTTGATCTGACATGAATCAGAAGTGGAACTGAAAAGATATACTTTTGATAGTTCACATGACAATCAACCATGACTTTGTAAATGCACCACTTTGGTGAGTATTCATGATCTTAAACCTGAAACTAGAAGGTCAATGAATCCTTTGTTTAGGATGGCATTAAGCTAAATCTCTGTGTATGTTGTTTTCATACAGAAGTCTCAGTCATTTACATTATCCAATGAATCAACACCAGCTTCTCAGGCACTTACTTGAGTAAGCCATATAAGTACTGCTTAAGAACATAGGCCTGGAATTACACACACATGTTGAAACATGAGAAGTGACCACTCAATGTCTGCATGTAATTATATTTTATTCACATAATATTTTCAATATTTGGGGGGAAAGAGAAAATACAAATACCTATTTTTAATCTTAATATAAAAAAATTAGAGTCGTTACAATTCATGGCTAGAGTTCCATTTTTATTTTATTTTATTTTATTTTATTTTATTTTATTTTATTTTGCCATAGGAAGGCGGCTACAAGCTCAGACCAACTGAAGTTCTGAGATCTCAAAATTATCCTTGTTAGACATACTTAAGGGAACAAGAGTTCTGGTAGTACCAGAAGGAGTCATATCAACTTCTTCCAGTGATATGCTGGAGCTCACACACAAGAGCAAATTGGTAATTTTTAAAGAATTTTTGTGAGTTGGTTGAGTCACATTGTTAGCTTGAACTTTATGGTGGAAGTATTTACACCACAGAAATTGGCAGTTACTACAAACCAGGGATCTCCCTGCTAACTCCCAAAAGCCAGCTATTAAACACTTTACCAGAACCTTAGTGATTGAATCTCTTCTTCAACAGACTTTATGTCAACAGGGGTTTCTAAATTCCTATTTTTCAGTTTTAGATTTTATACCTCAAGTATTTTAATTTTCTATAGTGAATCATTTACATGTATATGTCATCTTATTTAAGTTTTAGCTTTATAGTTTTTTCCCTATGGTCAAATTATTTATAAGCATGAATGCCTTATTAAGTTTTGGCTTTACATTTATTTACACAACTGCATTTATAAGTACATGGTGTGATTAATAGTTGCTGATTCTCTGTCCTTCCCATCTCACTTAGCCTTTGTAAGCTTCAGCTTCATCGTTTATAAAACTAGAATAATTATAGTGCATGCCGCTCATTTAGTTTGCTATGAGTATTAAAAGAAATGATATGTAAAGGACTAACTAAATACTATGATAACAAATGTAGTTGAGGAGATTGTCTACTACACTGCTTGTTGTCTTATATGTAAAGCTGCACCCACATGAGAATTTATTTTAGAATGCAGCATCAGGAAAACTTTATCTCTATTGAGAACTTGCTGTGCCTTTCCCTTTCCAGTATTAAAATTATCACTGATTGTTCCCGTTTTTGTTTTGCCTTGGTTATTTAGAAGCTGAAAGCCAAATTTCAAACTCAAGGACAACAATAATAGTTGTTCTAATAGTGAACAAAAATTCTCCCTTCCTCAGTTTATTTCCTGCCTTTGTTATCAGAATTATGGCAATAAAATTTGTTACTTCAATTTCTTTTTGGAGAGAAGTGTGATTTAAACAAAAGCATTTACAGTGCTCAAATTCTGGCAAGGGCTAGATAGTATTGACTTGGAACAATGTGATATTAGATGGGAACTTTCAGGCTGTAAGTGCTTACCGGTAATGTGAGCAGCCTTTATTGTTGAGGTATTATGCTGTGATTCATATTAGGGAATTCCCTGAGGTTACTTTAGTTAGGGTTTACTTGCCTAATAAGAGCCCAACCTTCTGTGTGTTAGGGTTTTCAGGCTTATTTTGTTGACTTGATGAATGTCACTTCAGAATTATGAGCTGAAAAGCAATGGCTCATGAGAGTTTATTATTCTCTCAGAGTTCCATGTCTCAGTACTGGAAGAAGTAGGCCTCTGAGTTTAGCCTTAAAATGCTATGCCTTGATCTTAAGCAAATTCATTGAATACACCCTTCTAAGGTTCAAAAGAACTGTTCTTAATTGCTGTTTAGGTTTAGAGACATTTTTGAAGTTTATGGAGCATAGTATATAATGCTTCTCCCTAGCATGGCAAAATTTAAATGTAAGTCTTTTTTGAAGTCCAGAATATATTAGTATTTTAATTTATTAACTATTTTATATATTTTGCTTGTGGCAATAGCAATTATAAAACAGCAATAGGAAAAACACACATTGATCCATTATTATTGAATATATTTTGATGCTTGTACTAAAGTGATATAAATGATGTAAAAAAATATATATGTGAGTGGCGGCGGCGGCGACCGCATACCGCGCGACCCGGAGTAGCGCGTCCAGCCGCGAGGCCGGCGCGGGGGCGGGAGCGGGAGCGGGGCCCGCGACAGGCCCGCGACAGTCCCTCCCGACGCCGGGGGAGCCCCGGCAGTTGCCAAGGAGGCGGCGCGGCGGACGGCGGCCCCAGAAAGAGAGGCCCGCGCTCGGCCCGCGGGACCGCGCCGCCACCGCCCGGGCTGGCCCGAAGGAACCGCCCGCGCCGCCGCCGCGCGGACCGAGGTTATGAACGTGATTTTTGATGAAACTGGATTGGAAACATTTTCATGATCTTTGTATATTTCTATATATGTATTTTAAAATTTTGCATTTGACTTAAAGTGCCATGAGAAAATTTGCATATTGCAAGGTGGTCCTAGCCACCTCCTTGATTTGGGTACTCTTGGATATGTTCCTGCTGCTTTACTTCAGTGAATGCAACAAATGTGATGGAAAAAAGGAGAGAGGACTTCCTGCTGGGGATGTTTTAGAGCCAGTACAAAAGCCTCATGAAGGTCCTGGAGAAATGGGGAAACCAGTCGTCATTCCTAAAGAGGATCAAGGAAAGATGAAAGAGATGTTTAAAATCAATCAGTTCAACTTAATGGCAAGCGAGATGATTGCACTCAACAGGTCTTTACCTGATGTTAGGCTAGAAGGGTGTAAAACAAAGGTGTATCCAGATAATCTTCCTACAACAAGTGTGGTGATTGTTTTCCACAATGAGGCCTGGAGCACACTTCTGCGAACTGTCCATAGTGTCATAAATCGCTCACCAAGACACATGCTAGAAGAAATTGTTCTAGTAGATGATGCCAGTGAAAGAGACTTTTTGAAAAGACCTCTGGAGAGTTATGTGAAAAAATTAAAAGTACCAGTTCATGTAATTCGAATGGAACAACGTTCTGGATTGATCAGGGCCAGGTTAAAAGGAGCCGCTGTGTCCAAAGGCCAAGTGATCACATTCTTAGATGCTCACTGTGAGTGCACAGTCGGGTGGCTGGAGCCTCTCTTAGCCAGGATCCAACAGGACAGGAAAACAGTGGTGTGTCCCATCATCGATGTGATCAGTGATGATACTTTTGAGTACATGGCGGGTTCTGATATGACCTATGGGGGATTCAATTGGAAGCTCAATTTTCGCTGGTACCCTGTTCCCCAAAGAGAAATGGACAGAAGGAAAGGTGACCGGACTCTTCCTGTCAGAACGCCTACCATGGCCGGAGGCCTGTTTTCAATAGACAGAGATTACTTTCAGGAGATTGGAACATACGATGCTGGAATGGATATCTGGGGAGGAGAAAACCTAGAAATTTCCTTTAGGATTTGGCAATGTGGAGGCACCCTGGAGATCGTTACTTGCTCACATGTTGGACACGTGTTTCGGAAAGCTACACCTTACACGTTTCCGGGAGGCACAGGACAGATTATCAACAAAAATAACAGACGCCTCGCAGAAGTGTGGATGGATGAATTCAAGAATTTCTTCTATATAATTTCTCCAGGTGTTACAAAGGTAGATTATGGAGATATAGCATCGAGACTTGGTCTAAGACACAAACTCCAATGCAAACCTTTCTCTTGGTACCTAGAGAATATTTATCCTGATTCGCAGATTCCACGTCACTATTTCTCTTTGGGAGAGATACGCAATGTAGAAACAAATCAGTGTCTCGATAACATGGCTAGAAAAGAGAATGAAAAAGTTGGAATCTTTAACTGTCACGGTATGGGAGGTAATCAGGTTTTCTCTTACACTGCCAACAAAGAAATTAGGACGGATGACCTTTGCTTGGATGTCTCCAAACTCAACGGCCCAGTCACAATGCTCAAATGCCACCACCTAAAAGGCAACCAACTTTGGGAGTATGATCCCGTGAAATTGACCCTGCAGCATGTGAACAGTAACCAGTGCCTGGATAAAGCCACGGAGGAGGACAGCCAGGTGCCCAGCGTCAGAGACTGCAACGGAGGTCGGTCCCAGCAGTGGCTTCTCCACAACGTCACCCTTCCAGAGATATTCTGAGACCAAATTTACACAAGAAAAAAATAAGGGTTGACTGGGCTACCTCAGCATACATTTCTATCACATTCTTACGTAGCACAAGAAACCATCAACAAAACAAAAAGGAAACCCACCATAAGGGAGAACATATTTGCCAATGATTCCTCTGATAAGGGATTAATCTTCAATATATATAAAGAACTAATACGACTCAACACCAGGAAGACAAACAATCCAATTTAAAAATGGGCAAAGGACCTGAATAGATACTTCGCCAAAGAGGACATACAGATGGCCAATAGGCATATGAAAAAATGTTCAAGGTACTAATCATCAGGGAGATGTAAATTAAGATAACAATGAGATAACACCCCATACCTGCCAGGATGGTTGCTATCAAGAAATCAATAAATAAGTGCTGGCAAGAATGTGGAGAAAGTGGAACCCTAGTGCACTCTTGGTGGGAATGCAGACTGGTGCAGCCACTGTGGAAAACAGTATGGAGTTAACTCAAAAAATCAGAAAGAATGTATGCAACCCTATGTTCATAGCAGCATTATTTACAGTAGTCAAGATCTGGAAATAGCCCAAGTGCCCATCTATAAGTGAGTGGATTAAAATGCTGTTATACATTTACACAAGAGAATACTATGCCGCTGTAAAAAAAAGGAACTCTTACCCTTTGCACCAGCATGAATGGACCTGGAAATTATTATGCTAAGTCAGTGGTTCTCTACCTGTGGGTCGCGACCCCTTTGGTCGCCTAAGACCATCGGAAAACACATATATAATTACATATTATTTTTGTGATTAATCACTATGCTTTAATTATGTTCAATTTGTAACAATGAAAATACATCCTGCATATCAGATATTTACATTACGATTCATAACAGTAGCAAAATTACAGTTATGAAGTAGCAACAAAAATAATTTTATGGTTGGGGGTCACCACAACATGAGGAAATGTATTAAAGGGTCGCGGCATTAGGAAGGTTGAGAACCACTGTGCTAAGTGAAATAAGCCAGTCAGAGACAAATACCAAATTATCTCACCAATATGTGGAATCTAATGAACAAAAGAAACTGATGAACAAAATAGAACCAGAGGAATGGATACATGGAACAGACTGACAAATGAGGGGAGCAGGGTGGGGGGAAAGTGAAGGGATTAACTAAAGAACATATATGCATGGCCCATGGACACATACAATAGTTTGGGGAGGGCTAAGGTGGGCGGAGGCTGGGTGGAGGTGGTCAAAAGGGGGAAAATGGAGGTCATCTGCTATAGTGTCAACAATTAAACTTTTTAAAAAAGATTAAATTTTAGCCGAAACCGGTTTGGCTCAGTGGATGGAGCGTCGGCCTGCGGACTCAAGGGTCTCAGGTTCGATTCCGGTCAAGGGCATGTACCTTGGTTGCGGGCACATCCCCAGTGGGAGATGTGCAGGAGGCAGCTGATCGATGTTTCTCTCTCATCGATGTTTCTAACTCTCTATCTCTCTCCCTTCCTCTCTGTAAAAAATCAATAAAAAAATATATTTAAAAAAAAGATTAAATTTTAAATTAGAACTTCTATACTTTGATGTCAGTCCTTATAAAACTAATATTCAGAAGTTAGAGAGAGCCAAAGAACAATGAGAAACCATGAATAACATTTTGATCACAATATAATGCCACATAGATTTTAGATATGTGTTAAAAACAAAAGTTATCAAATTATTAGAAAATAAAGTAATTTTTTTGAAATTTCAGAAATTTCCGTCCAGCATGAAAGTCATACCAATTCTATAATGTATATAATGTGGTGTTATGAACTCTTGCAATTAACAAGTTTTTAAAAACACACTTGCAAGCTACTTTGAGAACAATGTTATTTCAGTGAGTGGAAGTGATATACATTCTTTAATACATGTATTGAGGAGTTTAAGAACAAATGTAGTTGGATTTTTTCTAAATAGTACTTGCAAGCTCTGTTGTGCACAATGTATTTCAGTGATTGGAAGGTATATCTATTCTGTAATACATATTGGGTAGTGTTTAAGAACATTTGAAACAAGCATGTTTCAAACAAAGCTACTTGCAAGCTGCATTTAGTATAATGTTATTTTAGGGAATGGAGGTGATACTCATTCTCTAATGCATGTAATGAAGTATTTAAGAACACTTCTAATAAGTGTTTAAAATATTTGTAATGAAGATATTTCTATAAGCACTATGGTGCAAATTGTGTTCAGACCAGTTATATTACTGAATAAAAATAATTCCTATTTTGTTATGCATGTAATGAAGTGTTTAAGAATGCTTGTAATAAAGCTATTTCTAATAACTTTGATGCAAAATACATTCAGAATAGTTTTAAATCTGTACATGGAAATGGGCCCAATTGTGTAATGCATGAAGTGATTAAGAATATTTGTAGTAATGATGTCTGTGAGAATGCTACTTGCAAGTTGCATTGAGAACTGTGGGATATCAATGACTGGAAGTGACACCCATTCTGTAACAAGTGTAATGCTGTGATTCAGTTCATATTTTATAAATATGTTTCTTAAGAATGTTATTGGGAAGCTGATATAGTAAGTGAATACAAGTAATTCCAATATCTAATGTATGGAGGAAGTGTTTGATAACATTTGTAATAAAGATTTTCTAAAAATGCTTAAAAAAGATATTTTCTGAAATAATTCCAAATACTACATTAAAACTTATAAGTAATCTTACAATATAGTAAACATAATAAATTGTGTTTACATATAACTTTATCAGAACTTCAACATATACAATATTTTGCCTATTACCTTCCTTTCAGTATAAATTAACCACATAGTCATTAGTAATTTTAACTTAAGTGACTGTAAGGTCATTGTTAAATGTGTATCATAATAAAGGTTGGGTTATTTACCTAGTGCATTTGAACATGAAATTTACCTTGACTTATTCTGTCTGAAATGTTTTTTCATTAGGATAAATAGCAAAGATTGGCATGGAGTCATTAACGGGTGGTATAATAGTCACATAATTCACTAGTAATTTAATTATTCAATCAAGAGTATTTACTAATACCTTGCCAGAACTTTAAAAGGCCCCTAGAGATCTGGAAGGAGAAAATGATAAGGAGGATAAGTAAAACTATCTTTTAAAATCTATAGAGATAGTCTTTATTTGGCATATTTTCAATTCAAAAGCAAGAAACTTTTCTATTCAAATTATCTGACTGTACTAAAGTCTTAAAAGTATTTTTGCTCATCGTTTATGCATATCCTGATATCCTGGCTAAGATAAGAAAACTCCAAGGTCCAGGAAAGTTGGTTATGGAGTCAGACGGTTACTGAACCCTGAACAAATTCCTTGCGTTTATCTGGGCTCCTGGATGAGTAGCCTGTTTTAAAAGAGGCAATCATGAGCTTCTGCCTTTGAACCATACACACTCAGGACCATCAGTCTTCTCACTAAACAGAAGCCGGCGGTATTTCTGGAGTTTTGTATAATCAAGACTTACTTGATAACAAAGGTTAATTTTCACCAAGTGAAATGGGTTGGGTTTTCTTGACATTAACCCTGAATCCAAAGAAATAACTGTGGCCCTAGACAGTTTTGCTCAGTGGCTAGAGCATCGGCCTGTGGACTGAAGGGTTCGATTCCTGTCAAGGGCACATGCCCGGGTTGTGGGCTTGATCCCCAGTAGGGGGCGTGCAGGAGGCAGCCGATCAATGATTCTCTCTCATCGTTGATGTTTCTATCTCTCTCTCCCTCTCCCTTCCTCTCTGAAATCAATAAAAATATATCTTAAAAAAGAAATAATTATGGATATCTCAACTGCTTTTATGCATAAATTCAATTTTGCCAGGAAAGTCTAGTGTTGTTCCAGACCATGCTCCCACTTTGATGCTCCCCCTTTCAGTATTGAAGCTAATGGCACACTTGATGTGAATGGCAGTTTGTTCATGGCCAAAGACAGAGGAACAGGTGGAAATGAGCCCTCTTCAGGGGGTACTGGTAGGTTCAAGACTGAAATAGCAGAGCGTAAAACAACAGTGGGGGAGATTAAAGAAGTTTCTGTTAGAGGGAATTGGCATCTCAAGAAGTTTTAGTGCTGAGTAACCAAGGAAACTCACACAAGTGTCTGTGATTATATGGAGCAGAAGCTACCTCTTCTTCCCACTTTTCTTCTTCCTACTTTAGTTTTGCAGGATGGAGTCATTAGAGAGCTTACTAGAAATGCAGATGATTTCACAATCAGTGCCAAAGATGACCTACTTAATTTTGTTTAAAGCTCTGTTATGTGATGTGTTTTAGTTTTGATTGTTCAAGAGAAGAGGATGTGATAACTGTCTCAGGTCTTCCATTCCTGGGGCTGCCGTATGAGTTGTGGGTGGCAGTGCCCTTACTCGGACCCCGTGGCAGCACGTGGCTCTGCCAGCTATCTGCCGTGGCATCTGAGCTGAGGGAGAATGAGTGGTATCCTGGGTTCCTCCATGGAATTATTGACTGACTCTGTTGGCCAGATTAACTGGAGCTACCAGGAGCAGTGTTCCAAAAGCTCTGAAAATGAAGAGGGAAGTAATTAGATATGGAATTCATAATTGAAATTAGTTTAGAAGGAGATCTTTGTGTTTGAAAAGGAATCATTTTATGTGTAAACTTTCCATGTTGTACGTTAATTTTTCACTCTTCTCCTTCTAAGGAATGCATTTGTCATCTTGTTGCCATTACTATCATATCGTTATCAATGAACATCTCCCAAGGGTGCCTTCTTATCTGCTCCGGCTGGTCCCCTGGACATTCTCTGCCTCCCTCGTGTTCCTTCTCACCTGTATGCACTCACTGAAGCTCCTCCCAACCTTGAGTACCCTCCCTTCATGCAAACTTGTTTCCGAACCTTTTCCTTTCTTGAGTACTACTAACATCTACTGTCCTACCATACAGTTCAGTAAGTAGTTGTTCTTCATTTGAGCTATATGTTAGCTTTGTTCCCCAGTATAGAACACAAGTTCCTTGACAGCAGGGGCCAAAGGACAAAGCTGGCAAGAGAGACTAACTCTTACCCTTTTGTGTTGTTATTATTTTTAAAA